GCAGCAAAAATCCCCACAACAAAAAAGAAAAGAAGAAGAAAGAGTATATGAAGTTATCAGGAAAAAGTGATGGGGAGATATGGGAGGAGTTGGAAGGGGAGGAGTGGGCATAGATTTGATCAAAACACCTTATATACATGTATAAAAATTCTCAATAAATTGATTTAAAGTTAAAGAAATATGCAGTTACAACTTGACCTGCAAGTCATTGTATTGGAACTCTTTCCTTAATGTACAGTAGTTTTCTAAATATATAACATAAAAGTGGTCGATATAAAACCAAAAAAGCTCATGTTGATCTTAACATTGAGTCATTTGAAAATATTTATTTATAAGGTATATTGACTGGGACTGGATGCACAACATGCATATATTCAGTGCACAGTCCTATCACTGTTCTCATTTATGGGTGTAGACCCATATAAAATTATCATCTTTAAAGTATGTAATGAGATTTGTTATGATAACCAATTAAAATCAAAGGAAACAGACAAAAGGCATGGATTTTTCAGACATTCTATTTGTACATAAAGTTTCTTGTTCATTTTTCCTAGTTAATTTTCCATTGCTGTGATAAAGCACTTCAACCAAAGCCCACATGCGGTTAAAAGAGTTTACTTAGTTCACTTTTGAGGGAAGCCACATTAGGAACTTAAGCAAGGCAGGACCCTACAGGCAGGAGCTGAAACTGAGACAGTGGAGCAATCCTGCTTGCTGACTTATTCCCTTGGCCTGTGCTGAGACTGTTTTCTCATACAACCCAGGACCCCTTCTGTATAGACCTAACACCACCCAAATTGGGCTGGGCTCTCCCACATCCCTCAAAAATCAATAAATTGCCTCATAAACATGACCACAGGTCAGTCTGATAAAAGAAATTCCCTAGTAGAGATTCCTCTTCCTAGATTGTGAGCTATCCTGCACATCAGTGTCAGTAGTTTTCATTCAAGGTTGGACTTCTTCTATTTGATAATGACTGCATCAAATGACATCACAGTCCTCACCTCTCACATATATTATTAAGTAAATAGAAGCTACCAGAAGTAAGCTGATATCTCTGTTCTTGAACTCTGTGGACTTTGTACTATTAGAATAGACGTAGAAAATAAAGGCTGTAGATTGGGAGGTGTGGAGGAGCAGTTTCTGAAAATGATGGATGTAGGTGATTTAGCCCCTATTTCTTGCTCAGAGAAAGTTTTCCATGACCGTTAGACCCCTGAGAAAACTAATGTTTCATATTGAGATTCTCTTTGGGAAAATAATTCACTCAAAGTACAACTGAAAATATTAATTTAGTTGTGGTGAGGTGATGCAGACGTGTTGACCACTCACAGCATAAATAGCTCTGGCCTGCCACTCCCTGAGACCATTTGTGTTGTTCACACCCAATTAAAGCCCTAGTGTGCAGAGAGAATCCAGGCTCCAAATGGTCTTCCACACTGTGGTAGTTTTGAAAAATCATTTGTCCTTTTTACACATGACATCCACCACCAAATTATAAAAAACTTCTGTGGTATCAGGGTATGCTGTACAAAGTCACCATAGCTGGTAAGAAATTAGAGAATCACAGACTAATGAAGAGGCAACTGTTAAATAATGACAAAATATTTTCATGGTGTGTGTGGGTGTGTATGATGTTTTCCCTGAATTTGGATTATATATATTTGAAAGGTTCTGAGTTATAAAACTGTATTAAATATAAACTTTGTGACTTTTGTGTTAGTTTAAAAAGACCCAGAAAACTGATAATCTGAGCCAGTATCTCTTTAAAGAGATAATAAATGAATTTGTTTTCCCATTATATTATGACTTAAAATGATACATAATTGAATATTTTTCATTTTGAGAAAATTCTTACAGATTGAAAGGATGCAATTAGATCAGACTAGTCTTTACTAGTTTATAGAATTTTATGTTGAAAACATGTATTATGTGTGTGTCTAAATAATGAGTGACAAAAAATTAAATCTAATGTCTGAGAATTCTTTCCCAAACACTAACAGTTTATAGCTTAAAAATACCAAAATTCAAATAACTAAGAATTTAGCATTAGTAATAGTTATTTTATCTATGCCCAAGTGTTGTCTGTCATTACTTCCTTGTGTAATAGTGGAGGAATTTGGAAGTTACCTTTGCATCCCACATTCATTTGGAAGCTTTGTGATGATTTTAGCATTTTAAAAATGTTATTTATAAGATCTCCTAGAAAGAGACAATTAAGTTTGTGAAAAATTAGTAGATAACTTTGATATCGAGACTTCAATCATAGTGATCTTGCAATTCCTTTTAAAAATAATGTCGTTAAGTAAATCTAAGAAGGTGGCAGAAAAAATTTCTTTTTTTATGTTTTTAGATGTTTGTGGGTGTATTATATATGTGCATTCATATGTTTTGTGAGTGTTTATGCACATGTGTACATATGGAGGCCAGAGGTTGGTGGTATTTCCTTCCCCATTCTTTACCTTATTTATTGGAGTAGGGTCTCTTGCTGAATCTGGAGCTGGCCAGCCAATTCCACTAGTTAAACTAATCAGCTGGTTGTAGTGGTCCTGTTTCCTGAGTGCTAGGATTCCAGGTGGCTATCACACCTGATGAACCTTTAAAAGGTTCGGTGGTACGAACTGTGGTCCTCACAATTGCACAGCAACTACTTTGTCCACCTAGTCATTTGCTCAGGCTCTAGATTTTCTTTCTTTCTCCTTTTTTTTTCTTTCTTTCTTTCTTTCTTTCTTTCTTTTCTTTCTTCCTTCCTTTCTTTCTTTCTCTCTCTCTCTCCTTCCTTCCTTTCTTCCTTCTTTCCTTCCTCTTTCTCTTTCTTCCTCTCTCTCTCTCTCTCTCTCTCTCTCTCTTAATTTTTTCTTTCTGTTTTTGTGCTTACTTGAGTTGATAGGGCCCTCTGTCTACTGTACCAGAATATGTTGTAAGGTGGTAACTCACCAATACATGTTAATTTGGAGAAGAAATATGAGAGATAAATAGATATAAAAATGTGAAACTATGAGTAGGATATTTTGTAAAATAATTCATTTTATTATTTTCATACATGTGAAGCATTAATTAGCCAAATGTTTAAGATTGTCATTGTTCAATTAAAAGTTGCATAAAAATTAATAATAGTAAATACATATAATTAATAAAAAAGGAAAGCTAGAGTTATGTAAGTAAAAAATTCTTAGAAAGTTTGTTTGGAGATAGTTATGATTAGTGACATCAATGCTCCTTTGGCTATTGAATTAGAAATATTAAAGAATTAAATATTCATAGAATCATTTTGTCTCAGGAGAGTATTTTTGTACCAGATACTACCTGATTGGACCTGTTGAAAATATAACATTTTCTTTCTAATTTTCATGGTTATATTTCAAAAATTAATAGTGAGTAGTATCTCCACACCTGAAAGAATTCGCTGAAGGTTTTAGTCTGTCTTGCTGGGAATGTACCTGTTCCACTCCCAAAATAAAATAATAATTGGCATACAAAAGTAGTTGTGAGTGGTAAGATGTAGTTGTATTTCCATGTTTGTGTGTGTATTTGTTTATGTGTTTATGTTTGAGAGAGTGCTATACTCAAACAAAAATATGCTTTCATAAGGTGGGGATACCATTTAAGTTGGATCTTGGCAATTGATATTAAATTATTATGTTTTTGGATTGTGTGACAGAGAAAGAATGGATAAATTTGTTGCCATGTTCTTGAATAGAAAACTTCCAAATATTTGTTTATTTGTAAATTACTCTTACATCACTATGTTTGCATGAAATTATTGACATTTCTTGCACAAAACCTAATCTTACTCCCTTTTAGAAGTGAGGAAACAAAAATAAGACTAAATATCCATTGAACAGTGAGTAAGTCTCTTGGATTTTTTTTTTCTTTTATGAGACAGAGTCATCTAGCCTCCATTTGATGTAGCTGAAGATTACTCTGAACTTCTGATTCTCCTACCTCTACCTCAGGAGTACTGGGATTAGAGGCATACTCCACCTTGCCCTGTTGTTTTATGTTTTGAGACCAGGTCTAAATATATATACAAGCTGCCCTAAAATTTACTATATAGTTTTCTTGGTTAAGAAAAGGCAAAATTTGGTCAGGCATGGTGGTTTATGCATTTAATCCCAGGACTCAGGAGGCAGAGGCAAATGGACCTCTGTGAGATCAGGGTAGCCTGCTCTCCATAGCGAGTTCCAGGTCAGCTGGTGCTACAATGAGAACCTCTCTCAAAAAAAAAAAAAAAAAAAAAAAAAAAAAAAAAAAAAAAAAAA